CCTTGAACAGACTGACTCCAGGTCAGGAAAAAGCACAAAGCGAGGTTACATTCACAGGTTTCCAACCCTCCTCTCTCTCTCAGCAGTGGTCAGACCCTTGAGTGGGTGCCTGCAGTTAAGTCTTCCCACCAGCTCAGTAGATACATGCTTAATGGCTCCTGTCCTTACAGAATCTCTAGCCCCTAACCTATGAGGCTTGGACAGGTAGTCTCAACACTTTCCTTCCAGGTGGAGAATTGGTGGACAAGACAGCAAATTACCTAAAATTATAAAGTTTTAAAATCTGAACAGTCCTGAGGTGTAGCTTCCAAAGGTTACTTCTGGGTGATGCACATGTCATCCACTTTCTTCCTTGAAGTAAAATCAAGTACAGTGTAAATCCATGCAGGGTGTCGATTGGGAATTGGCATGAGATGAAAGGCTAGAGAGCTGGGATCCTGGAGGGTGTGCATTTGGGACAGAGCAGAGGTATCATCCTCCACCTGTTGATTAGCTTAATTGGGACTCTCAAAGTGGGTTTCCATTTGTTGGGGTCTCCTGCAGGGTAGTGTGCGGGATGTCCTCTTCTTTATGGGACTCTTTGTGTGGCTTGAAAAAGTCAGACACAAAGAAGACCTGCAAGATAGGGAGAGAATTTAAAAAAGGCATACATAGGAATGGGGCTTAATTATTTGTTTCTGTGCTACTAACATTACTCAAGGGCGATGAACCAAGTAACCACTTTGAGGAATTGTTTGCCACTTTGCAAAATATGCTGAAGACAGGAGAATAGCTAGCCTAGCTCTGACTAAAGGTAAAAAAATCTGTCTACCAGCACCTCTGTCGCTCCTGGATTAACTCATTTTAAGAAAAGGAACACCTTGTAAAACCACAGATAATCATTTTATACATTTCATTTATCTGCATTACACAAATGAGATACACGTTAGTTACTGAGCTTTAGAGATACCTGCTAGCAGACCAGACCTAAGCTGTTTACCGCTGCTTCTAGTCTTCATGCTAAGCTAAACATCTCCTGATTGTCGTTTAATTGTATCATTTATCCAAAAAATGGAATGCTCAAATTGCTCTCCCTATTTCTGTCTCCACTATAACTATGAAATTAAGGCTGAAAATGCCCAAAAATAAAGAAAATTAGTGTAACTTTTCCTTTTAAAGGTAAAGTAAGATTAAGACACATCACTTACCACCAGGATTGCCATGAGGGCACCCTGCAGGAGTCCAGTCAGCACATCACTCCAGTGATGTTTATAATCGGACACCCTGGACAATCCTGTGAAGACTGAGGCAGCAATCAGGAAAAACTGGATTGTCGGTCTCAGTAGCCTCGCCCATTCAGCCTGGAGTCGAGCCTGCAGGTACAGCTGAGAAAGACGAGGCATGCTTTTAAAATACACAGCTACTGTGGGCAACATTCCTGGAAGGGTGGCAGGAAATTGAGCAGCAGTGATTTGTAGATGACTCTTCCATTACCACAGTAGAGACAAACCTATCATGCAGGGAAGGATTATAAAATGTTCCTGAATTAAACAAAAATCCTCTTTATGTCACCAAGTTATCAGCTCTACTATTTATTTCCTCTTTTGTCTTTTAAAAGGTGAGAAACTCTCCTGCAGGCCACGTTTCACTGATAGAAGGAACAGTACAACATATAGTAGGCTGTTTATTCTCTAGAACAGTATCCAAAATCTAATCTGATAATTAAATATCACACCACCGCTGGGGCATGATGTCTGTTGTGGCACAAACCAGACAACTTAACTGTGTATTAAAAACAGTTCTATTGTTTTTCGTTTCATTCAAGGACAAACAAGTTTAGCTGCTTCATCCTGACCCCTGACGCACTTCTTTCCCTTTGTCTATTTATATCTGCTGGTGCTCAATGAATCAGCAGCTCATAAAGTGGATCAGGGCTGGGCAGTAAAATAAGAACTAGAGATGCTGCATTTCTCTGTGCACAACACTGCTACTGATGATAACCTGGAATAACCTTTCAGAAATGTGCTTATTCACTCTTTTCCAAGAGTTAGATGAGAAGATCCATACCACTTTCGTCTGATAATATGAAGCCACAGCCACAAGACTGTTAGCTTAGCATAAAGACTGTAAACAGGGAGAAACAGCTAGCCGGGTTCTGTCCTAAGGTAATAACACAATATGAGAAAATGAGAAACACGTCATAATTAGTGAGCTTTAAGTGTTTGTAGGTGTTTTTTGGACAGCACAGGCTAGCTGTTTCCCCTGTTTTGAGTCTTTATGCTACGCTAACATGCAATTGGCTGCATTGTATTTAAAGCAATAGTTTGATATTTTGGGAAATACCTAAACAAAAGATTTCCAGACTTTGATAAACACCGGATGATGTTGAAAATTAAGCAGTTTCCAAACTTTGTACGAACCCTGCTTTGAGCACAGTGTTCCAGTAAACACTGATCCACGTGATTGCAGATCAATATGTAACTGATATAGGTACTTACAGCCAGGAACAGCATGCAGTACATGGAAAAAGAGGAATGGCCGGAATAGAAGGAAAGCCTGCAACGGAAAGACAAAAGCCCAGATCAACACACATGAAAAGAAACATCATTACATCCATTTGTCAGACACACAAACCCACACACCACCGCATCCTGGCACACCCTCATTTAGGGATTGAGACTGATGTAGAGGGGTGTGGTGGACACCAGACCCTCCAGTCCTTCCTCCCCGCCTTAGTTACTTCCTGTTTATAATAACAGTGCTATGTTTTTATACTGTTGTATGGACCATGTCTACAGCAGCAGCCATGGATACACACACACACACACACACACACAGTCTAATAATGTACACCTGCTTATTTGGTGTGCTTTTCCACTCTGACACTTGATGAAAGGTCGGGTGCTTCACGGTGTAGAATAAGATGTGTATTTCAGAGTCTGGACAGCAGTGTGAACCAAGACCTGCTGCTATTGAGTTATCCAGATAACTTTGCAGGTTAAGCACTAGAAATGACTTCAATCTCAAATATGGATTGATGAAAAAATATGGGTTCTGGGTTTTTACTCAGCAAAGTTATACAACAGTAAACCAGCTGTACAGACAAATAAAGTCTATCATCTTTCATATTTCACATAAAAGTCAACTGATTATAAAATTAATGCAGGTGTTCTACAAGATTTTATAGATTGGCTGCACTGTAGTTCAACCTTTATGTTAATGACTTGCCTTAGGTTTGTCGTGATGTAGAGATCCAGCTATATGCTGATGATGCAGTGATTTATGTACACAGCTGCACAAAGCAGCAAGCTGCTTCACAACTTACCAGTGCATGACCCATATAACATGGCTTGACAGATCACGTTGTAAGTTTGATGTATTTAAAACTTTGTTCTTTTTAAAGCGACTGTGTAAATGTAAATGTTCTGTACTCTCTGTTTAGTGCCTTTCTGGTCTTTGTGACCAAAAAAAAAATTATTTTTAATTTTTGGCAGAGGACAATCCAGACTCAAACACGCCTTGGTAACAAAGCCCAACTGGCAACTGCAATAAAAACCTCTGTGGCATCACATTCAAATTGCAGGTTGGTCGCACCCTGTGAGGCCTCAACTCATTGTACATTAATAGAATCCATCTGGATTACAAATGTGTATCTTACAAGAGAAGTAATATTTTTTTATTACGCACACAACCTTTGAATAACTTGGCCATCTTCTTAAATGCAAACAAACATACATGCCGCTCACAGTAGGCCCTTGAATCTCATAGAGAAGTGAGACTAAGCCAATGAGGAATCATATTACAGTAAAATGATCCTGCGCAGGCTACTGCTCTCTCCTCTCCTGCTGCACTTATTAGCAGGTCATCGCAAACACACACATGGGAGCTGGAAATACAGTGGGTACGGAAAGTATTCAGACCCCTTTAAATTTTTCACTCTTTGTTTCATTGCAGCCATTTTCCAAAAATCAAAAAAGTTCATTTTATTTCTCAGTAATGTACACTCAGCACCCCATCTTGACAGAAAAAAACAGAAATGTAGAAATTTTTGCTAATTTATTAAAAAAGTAAAACTGAAATATCACATGGTCATAAGTATTCAGACCCTTTGCTCAGTATTTAGTAGAAGCACCCTTTTGATCTAATACAGCCATGAGTCGTTTTGGGAAAGATGCAACAAGTTTTTCACATCTGGATTTGGGTATCCTCTGCCATTCCTCCTTGCAGATCCTCTCCAGTTCTGACAGGTTGGATGGTAAACGTTGGTGGACAGCCATTTTCAGGTCTCTCCAGAGATGCTCAATTGGGTTTAAGTCAGGGCTCTGGCTGGGCCATTCAAGAACAGCCACGGAGTTGTTGTGAAGCCACTCCTTCGTTATTTTAGCGGTGCGCTTAGGGTCATTGTCTTGTTGGAAGGTAAACCTTCGGCCCAGTCTGAGGTCCAGAGCACTCTGGAAAAGGTTTTTGTCCAGGATATCCCTGTACTTGGCCGCATTCATCTTTCCCTCGATTGCAACCAGTCGTCCTGTCCCTGCAGCTGAAAAACACCCCACAGCATGATGCTGCCACCACCATGCTTCACTGTTGAGACTGTATTGGACAGGTGATGAGCAGTGCCTGGTTTTCTCCACACATACCGCTTAGAATTAAGGCCAAAAAGTTCTATCTTGGTCTCATCAGACCAGAGGATCTTATTTATCACCATCTTGGAGTCCTTCAGGTGTTTTTTAGCAAACTCCATGCGGGCTTTCATGTGTCTTGCACTGAGGAGAGGCTTCCGTCGGGCCACTCTGCCATAAAGCCCCGACTGGTGGATTGCTGCAGTGATGGTTGACTTACTACAACTTTCTCCCATCTCCCGACTGCATCTCTGGAGCTCAGCCACAGTGACCTTTGGGTTCTTCTTTACCTCTCTCACCAAGGCTCTTCTCCCCCGATAGCTCAGTTTGGCCGGACGGCCAGCTCTAGGAAGGGTTCTGGTCGTCCCAAACGTCTTCCATTTGAGGATTATGGAGGCCACTGTGCTCTTAGGAACCTTAAGTGCAGCAGAAATTTTTTTGTAACCTTGGCCAGATCTGTGCCTTGCCACAATTCTGTCTTGAGCTCTTCAGGCAGTTCCTTTGACCTCATGATTCTCATTTGCTCTGACATGCACTGTGAGCTGTAAGGTCTTATATAGACAGGTGTGTGGCTTTCCTAATCAAGTCCAATCAGTATAATCAAACACAGCTGGACTCAAATGAAGGTGTAGAACCATCTCAAGGATGATCAGAAGAAATAGACAGCACCTGAGTTAAATATGAGTGTCACGGCAAAGGGTCTGAATACTTATGACCATGTGATATTTCAGTTTTCTTTGTTAATAAATTTGCAAAAATTTCTACATTTCTTTTTTTTCTGTCAAGATGGGGTGCTGAGTGTACATTACTGAGAAATAAAATGAACTTTTTTGATTTTTGGAAAATGGCTGCAATGAAACAAAGAGTGAAAAATTTAAAGGGGTCTGAATACTTTCCGTACCCACTGTATAATGTGTCCTGACATTAATCTTAAAAACCCCTGATATCTGCCTTATCCTCTTATCCTGCTGTTAATGTTTCCTTCATTATGCTACATTATAAGATAAACTGCAGAGTAGTAATGAAGCTCCCAGAAACATTGTACACCACACACTGGAAATTGTACGGTAGATAACCCAGAGGACAGAGAGGTAGTGGGTGGGCATATTTCCACTCTAGCTCTTACTCAAAGGATGCAGCTCAGGGAAACAACAAACACTCAAACTATAAGCAGAATGACCTACTTTACATTTAAGTAAAGTTGAACAGAAGAGACTAAAGTAGATGTCCCTCATAGCGCATAATAAATCCACACTGGTAACACTGGGCACAGCTTTTTGTCACTATTTAGGCCTCTGCTTCTATTATTACCGTAGGTCTTGCTGCTCGTGCCTACACCAGAATGAGAAGTGGATATCCTCTCCTCCCTCTATACTTCCTGCTGCTCTGCGCTGATAAGGGATAGAGCTAAATCATAACAAGCTTTACATTCCTGCTATTTCTCAATCTCTCCGTGTCTCTGGTTTCGTGTGCTGCAAGTGGTTCAAACTGCATCTTGCCAAAAACACTGTCTGCATGTCACCTGTGTGCAGATATTTATTAGAAACTAAATGTTCACAGGGGCATGGCATAATGGTTTTATCACCATTATGAATTAGACAATCATTCATAGGTTGTTTAGAGACATGTTTAACCTTTGCTCTTTGTACCAACACCACGAGCATATTACAAAACAGAGTGCAGACGTTTGAGGGCTTTTTCTGTCAGAATTTGTTAATCTGTTGAGCAAGAAAACAAGAACATAAGAGTGCTGCAAGTTTAGTGTGGAGCCATTTCAACAGCAAAACATCTGAAATCATGAACCACTTTATTCATTCTTTCACAAAGGGCTGCAATTAATCAGTATTATATCGTCGAGTAATCGGACGATTCCGTGCTCGATTTGTTGTTCGGTTGTTGTTGCTGGACACAGATTGATCCATTATAACTTTCTTCACTAATTTACACACCACAGAGATTGCATAAATACAAACCTGAGATATCAAATGTGTGTTTTAAATGTGGCTTAGAGGAGGGCTTGTTTTTGCATTGCACCTGGTTGTGTACAAAACTTAATATTGGCACGACTTCTGTGACATTATGACATAACTTAGAGGATTTACCTTCACATTAGATCCGCAAATTTGCTTATTGGGGAATTGTACAACCATTAATGCACATTCAAGAACCTTTTAAGCGGTTTTTAGAAATGGCTTTGTGCATTGCCAGAAAGTGCATAGCGGTGGTGTGGAAGTTCCCATCCTCTCATAGCTAGATCGTTTTTGGAAGTGAAAAGCTGCTTCTCACTCAAATATATCACATATCCTCTCAGAAATTAATATAACACCTTTCATGCCAGGTTTGTGAGTGTTTGTGTATTTTGTCATTCTACATTTTGAAAATAAAACTCGAACTTTTCCCACAGCCTAAAGTAATCTATTTTAATAGCTTGTTTTATTTTACAAACAGTTCAAAACTCCCAAAATATTCTGTTTACAATCAAATATGAATCTTCACAGCTGGAAGCAGCAAGCGTTTGCTAAAAAATTGTTATCCATCCTTCCAGTTATTCATCCATCCATTTCTGAATGCTATAAAAGAAACAAGTTTGGAGCTATAACAAAACCTACCTGCCCTCAGTGACACTCGTCGGGTCTCCAGTGCAGGGGAAGTCTTCAATATAAGCCCCTGATGAACAGTTGATACGTGTCCAATCAGGTTTGCACACATCCAGGAAGTGTGGTCTGAGCCGGCCAATAGAATACTTGGCAATGTCGGTCAGAGACTGGCTCATGGCAGCGCCGAAAAGGAAGGTACCGATGGCTTTGTAAACACAGGCAATGTAGCTGCCGAACGAGGACTTGGATTTGATGCGCTTTAGATGAACTAAAAGGCACTCGCCAATGATCATCTGTAAGGGGGAGGGGAAGGATGACGGGGGAGGAAAGGATAGAGTTAGAGGTGTATACAGAAATACAAGACCCCAAATGAAAATTAAAGGTGCAACTGAATGAAATCTATAACATCAGAGTCAGCAATAAACCCTAAAATACTGGATCTAAATAATGGGTTTGGTTAAAAAACTCTGCCTATTACACTAATTTCACAAAAAGCTCTCCGTTTGTGAAACAGCATTTAAAGGAATAGTTTGACTTTTGGTGGATATACACACACATTCTTGCCATGAATTAGATGCAAAGATCGACACAGCTGCTTTGTCAGTATGCTAAATAGGAACTACCACCAGCGCCAGTTATCTTAGCATAGCATAAAAATTGAAAACTGGGGGGAAACCGCAAGAATGGATCTGTTGGAGGGTAACAAAATCTGCCAACCCACACCATTTTAGCTTTTTAACGAATTAAACAAACTAGATATAGAGCCAGGCTGGCCGTTTCCACCTGCTTCCAGTCTTTACGCTAAGCCAACCATCTCCCGGCTGTAGCTTCATATTTAATGTATTTAATCAAGTTCACAGCAAGAAAGTGAATAAGCTTATTTTTCCAAAATGTCTAACTAAGTACACTCTCCATAACATTATAGATGCTGTTTTGACAGAATTGGCAGTGTTTCTACTACTGATCCATTCTGAGATAACACACATGGTTCAAAGTATCATGGCCAAAGGATGATGTCCACTTAAAATAATAAACATATATAATTTAGTTTGATCTAAAAGTTGAAAATAAATCCTCCTTAATAGATCCAATAGTAAAAATTTTTTGCATATCTGAGCTTGTATGTGTTCATCCTGTATACGTCGGAGGAATGAATCATGAAGTCCTCTTGTTTAAATGTTGTGGTTGAGGTGCAAGACAATGTTGTAACAGGGCTTACACTTGTCTCACAAAAGGCTGCTGATGGGCCTTTATTGCTACCGCTCTGCTACCTGTATCTGTAAAAGCTTTCAATAGGTGAAATAAGAGCTACTCTTGACGGGTCACAAAAGATTAGGTCTTGATTAAGCATAAGTGTCTATTCTTACTGTGGTGTTTTAATTCTTTTTGAAGATGAAACCTGAAGCATCGAAACTTTTTCTAAAGTAAAAAAAAAAAAAAAACGATAAAGATATTTTCACTGTTTATATACGGAGTCTCTCCGCTGGAGACGTATTCATAGCTGGTAAGTTTCAAAATAAAAGTCAGCCACACTGGTCACCTTTCTGTTTCAAATGTTACAGAGTTTTGAAAACTACAAACTTTTTCGACAGCATGTAGTTAGCAAACAAACTTAGTTAATGGAAGTGGTGGCTTATGCAAGCAATTAAAACATTAACACATTATACATAATAATGTGTTTAGCAGCAACCATGGATTCAAAGAAAAGAGATAGAAAGAGAAGTTAGGAGTGGATCAAGTTAAGCAGTACGTAAAGGATGCAAGTATAAAAGAGACACGTTAGCAGAAAACAAAACAGATGCCACTTACAGTGAGGATTGTGACGGGAATCATAACACCTCCTAACAACTCATAGGTAATGGTGTCTTCTTTATGGGGGTACTTGATTGAATCATCATTACAGAAAAAGCCTCGGCGGAAAGGGGTGTGTTTCAGATTGAGTATTACAAATGGGAGTCCAGCTAGCAGAGAGGCAATGAGAGAGAAAACAAGGGGGAAAAAAATACAGGTTACAAAATCATGTCACTGGGCCTCGATCCCCTATCCATGATGCAACACTGTGTGCCAATGCAAAGCAGTGTGAGAGGGCCACACCACATGTTGCATCCTCTCATGGCAGCGACTGGCGTCCTCAGCAACTTTCAGGAACATCAGCATGCAAATTTTAATGGTTAAAGTGTACGCAAGGCATCAGAGAGTTAAATGCTGATGAGGAGTGGATGTTAATACAGAAAAGTCAAACATTAGAGCATGTGTTTTATCATTGTGTTTCTTGAGTGGCTTTAGTTCCCATTGTTAAATTCTCACTCACAAAGAGAAGAAATAGCGCTCTCACGGAGCCCTTGCGTGACCGAAACACACCTCACACTCCTCTTTTCTTTTTGGCAAACCGACACACTTCACTTCTCCCTAATAACTTCCCACATATTCTCACCTTCCTTTGGCACACAGTGAACAATGAAGTGAGTTGTTAAAACTTAAACAATAACATTTAAGACCATAATTAACAGATTGGGATTATAATCACACACGATGAAGGAAAAGATAAATCACTCACACACACACACACACACACACACACACACACACACACACACACCAGAAGCCCTGTCTTGCCTGTCGATCTCCAAAAAAACAATTGCTCTGTTCCAGAAAAGCATTCCAGCTATTTAAGGAACAGAGCGACGCAGCACGCAGCCTGCATGTCTGTTGCACTAATTAACAACAGTTATAGAAGTTCATCCAATAGACTGACGCTAAAAACCAAATGATTAAATCAAAAGCCTAAAAAAGCCAGGCTGACATTACGTCATATAATCCATATTTGATTATATGTGTAAGCCATGGCTAAATTAATTAGTGGTTCTTTTGATGAACTGTTTCAATTAAAAATAATCAAGATGTTTGGAAACTAAACTTTGACCTTTAAGGTGACTACAAATTCTGCTGTAGCTGAGATTTTGGTAAAAGAAATATGCTATAGGACTGTTTTTTGTGTTTGTGTGTACATGTGTGTGTGTAACAGGTTTCAACATTTACTCAGGCCGATTTATTTTATATTAATTGTTTTAAGTGGACATCCTCCTTTGCCTTTTACTGTAAGAGCTGATGTTGTTGAACATGTCAAAAGCCTCACACTGAGGTAAGAAACAGCATCAGAACTACATAAAATATATTGTGCATATCGGATTTCAATAAGATGTAGCGGTGCTAATACAACAGCTACTGAACAACTGAAATCATAATCTGTATAGCTAGCCATTTTGAATATATATCCTACATTACGCACTGGAAACGTGTTGGTCCCAACAGACCTTTTGTCACAGCAGACAGTTTGACTTGCCGTCGCAGGAAAAGCACAAATGCTTTCCATGTAGGTGTGCCAGTAAACCATCATACCAGAGCCACGGCCATGCCACACCTTGGAATGCATTTAAGTTATAAGTTACTCCTTCGGTTGACAAGTCAACATATTTGCCATGGGACAGGTCGTGCGTTACCTGTTGAACCTGCCTTGAGTGGCTCCTACTTACGCAGCTAATGGGCAGCGCGAAGCCCACAGTGTAGAGCACTGTGGAGGTGATTGTACTCTTGTGGAAAGGGTACATGATGCTGTCGTCGTTACAGAAAAAGCCCCTCTGAAAGGGGTGGATCTTACCCAGGTTAAAGGCTGCCAGAGGCAGGCCTCCTGTTGACAGAGAGATCGGGAGGAAGAGGTCAAAGGGGGAAAAACAAAGCATGGAAAAGAAAGTAAGGGCGCCAAAACAAAGTGTTGAGGTCTTCAAATCTGTCATCTTTCAGACAGAAGTGAATGAACACGTGCCAAATTAAATCTTTGTGACAGAAATGAGAGATCCCAACCTTTCTAGCAGTCTAGTTAAAGGAAGAATAAACTGGCTTTATTCTTTCTTTTCACATTGTCATTAAATTCAATGAAAAGACCAAAACCAACAATGCTTATCAAGACGTTACACTCAAACCCAAGCAGATATGTTGCTGCTGAAGAATTTAATCCTTAGAAACAGATCTCACAATTTTGTATATATCTATCAAACGGGAGAAAATTGTGCATTTATTTGGCACCATCTTCAGCATTGAATTTGGCCTGAACATCCAGTGTGGCTCATTCTTGTTTTTTTTAATAGCTTTCAGACAACAATGAAGCTCATGGTACGTAAAGAATAAGCTACATAGACAATACTTGCTATTAGCATCAAATCATTGTTAGTTTTGTTTGCTTTTCATGAAATTTGTTCACAATCAGAAAAACAGAATATATTACCAGACATATCCTTTGACAGTGAGCCCCTGAACACTGAATTACTGAGCTCAACACTGTTCATTGCACACTCAACAGCAGTGACTTCATCACAACAACAAATTCTGTTATCTTTGGGCAGTTTTTCCAGCAGAGGGCATTGAGAAGATTTTTTTTAGTTGGAGCACTGACTCACATTGGTGTGAAAGGAGCTGTGGACATAGCTAAGCGCTCCCTATAGAGAATAGCATAAAGACGACTGATTATGCTAATAGGTTTTGACAGTTCAAAGTGTGAATGAAATGCCGCTGTCATTTCTCTGGTTGTTTGGCCTGTTTAGCCCATTGTATAGTGGGGAGAAGACACAGTTGTTCGTCCATTCGAATAGAAAATGAGGGACCATTATTGAGCTGTAATGCATAGTAACAAGCCGCAAAATGGCAGAATACGCAAGATATACTTTCACCCACAAACTACCTATGAACTACTTTTTAATTCTGTCTGGTATTTCTGTTCTGTCTGCTATGTCTGCAGCTGTTGACACTGTCAGCTGTGCCATCCCAAGTTGACTGGCTACAACAGCTGGAAATGCCAGAAACACACACGACAGGACCCCCAAGTCACAAGAGTTCAGTGTTGGACTTAACTTGTTCTCATTTTTTATAACTGTGCGACTAAGAGAGTTTGCAAGAAAAATGTGAATAATTTAATGTATTTAGAATACACGTTAAGTATTTTGTAACATTTTATCCTTTTATCCAGACTCAGCCTGAGCAGCCTGCTCAGTAATTTTGTTAAAAACAAATTAAATGAGCTGTCTCGGCAAACCAGGACAAATATCATCTCTCCCTGCACATTATCCTCTTCAGAAAATTAATACCATCTCAGTTCTCACACTTCTCAAGTCGTATTCTCACGAGCTAAACCTCACTACACGCGCATGTTTAGTAATATACAGCAGTGCATGACATGGAAACAGCCTCAGCCTGGATGCTTTTCTATAATTTAATAGTCTGTGCCATTAGCAGAATAATCAAGTTTGCTTCTGCATCAGTTCTCAGAACAGCACACTGACTGTACAGTCATGCTGTGTCTTGCTGCACACGTTTGGCTTTAAGGCACTTACAACATTGTGCAATATAAAATAAGTCTGTAGTCTTAGAGGTTTAGCAATATTTTAATACCCCCCCTGCACTCACGAAACAAACAGTATTTGCATATTCACAGATTCTGGAAGCACTAGCGTGAATGTCATTTTAAGAATTTGAAATAGGTAGTTGAACATTTTTGTGGAAAAACCATATTAGACACAAATTATTATTCCAAGCAGAGCATTTGTATGTTTTAAAACGTGTCTGGAGGGGATCTCTGAAACAAAGTCAATTTGTCAATTTAACCCTACAATTAGGATGGAAAGTAATCAATCATTCATAATCAGATTGAAAAAGCAATAAAGTCCCAGTGATAAAACTAAAAACATAAAAAGGCATATATTACTCATACAATTATACATTCAATTCAATATACAGAAAAATTAAGACATTTCAAAAGTGTCACCAAACTTTCACAGTGGTTTTAAATGTAAAATTAGGGATGCACTGATCTGATAGTGATATCAGCAGATACTGACTCAAATATCTGGATCAGGTATTGGTGGCAAGGGGGTCGATCTATTCAATTCAATTATGAGTGTACTTACGCCCAGCTATTTGTATCGGTATCAGGACTGAAAAAGTGAAAATCGGTGCATCCCTATGTAAGATAATGACTGGTAAAATGAACTGATATACTGTAGTTTACACATATTTAAATCTGAATACAGTTTCAGACCTGATATGAGTACAAGTACCCTGCATTGAAGTGATTTTAGACTATTTGAGGGAAAGATGTGTGGTCACATGAACCAGAAAATGTAGGTGCTGGTCAGTGGGTTTAAAAACAGAGAAAGATAGTAAGGCCAATTTATAAGATAGTATCTCAGCAATACCTTGAATTAATATTAGAAAACTGTTAAATGTTTGGTTTAAATGAGAAATCAGGCACATATGTGGACTTAGAATTGGACTATGAGAAAATGAAACAGTAGTGAGGCACAAAATAGAACCTTTAATTATGGAAACATTATATAATTAGGCAAGTACTTCAGTATACTGAATATAATGCTGGGGATTGTAGTGTTAGTGTATCTAATGCATTATTAAACATTGTTGCACTTACAAAATAGCATAATTTGTTTAGCCCCTAGATGTTTGTCAGCATCTGATCGCTAATTTGCATACAATGGAAACAAAGAGCATGTCATTCTTAACAGAAACATATGTAGCAACCTACCCACAGACATACAGATGTTGCAAATGACAGAAACATATTGTTTGGTTAGTGCTACCATTAATGTTAGAGGTTAAAATAAAACTGTTGTCACCAAGGCACAGTTGCGGGTTACAATCTGCTCACCACTCCCTTCACGTGATGGTAAACTGTTTAATATCCAAACAGTTGGATTATATCAAGTCACAAATCGGCTTATATCAATAAAAGCACTAACAAACAGTCCACCGCAGTCAGTAAAAGGCATTTAAATACATACCTATGATAAGACAGGCTATGTCCAGCAAGACAAAGGAGATTCCTCTCGCCTCGAACATGTTTGCTCTTGTCAGTCTCTGACTCGCGGTGCGTCCTCTCTTGTAATAAACACCAGGGGTAGCTTACGGACGCTCCTCCTTGGGATGTCGCTGCTAGTTTCCGATGTGCGAGAGCAGAAAATCGCAACAGCAAGGGATTTAAACCCACACTGAAACGTCTACGCCCTCCTAAGGAAAGCACATATCAAGAGAAATAATGCGCGTCGCTCTGCTGACTCTGCTCTTGTTGTTGTTGTTGTTGTTGGGGGGTGGTGAACTGCAGCAGAGCCGATAACTCCACAGGCCTCTCATGGTGATTTTAAAGCTGTTGAATAAAAACAAACAACTCAAACACCGGTCATTTAGACGAACACCTGTCCAGTGCCGATGAGTGAAACACGCCGTTTGACGAACCCGGAAAGCTCCGTGGGCAGCTGCGGTTGTGGGCCTGGTGCTGCCTTCAAATGCTAGCGGAAATGTCGGAAATAAGGAGCTTAACCTCATTTGTGCCCTCAGTAGTCGGAGGCCTTACTCTCTTATTGACTATGCCTTAACAAAACCTTAAAATAAAAGTCGTTAGAAGGGATGAATTACCACTATCATGAATAAAGAAACAGTTTGCCTGACTCTGTGGTAAAATCTAATCAACTTATAAACACATAATATATTTTGTTTAATCCTACAAAAACTGAAGTTTAAAAACATGTGCTGGACTAACTGTTTTTTCATTTCATGGCGTGTGCAGCGACTTCCTGGAGTCTTCTTGTGTCAGTGAGTTTGCCAGGCACATAACTCTCTGTAACAGTGTCGTGTCGTTTTTACACTTATGTCTCGTTTGAAAACATACAGTAGCTAATGTTTTAATCAGTGATTTTGTTACTGTGGGACAAATGCAGCTTCTCCCAGTTTCCAGTCTTTGCGCTAAGCTATGCTAACTGGCTATGATTGATCTTCTCATTCAATTCTCTGTAAAGCACAAAAAGTGAATTCAAAATGTCAAACTATTCATGTAGCCTAAACGTATTTTTTGAGTTGGCAGATGTCTTTTGTCTGCCAATAAAAGTAAAATGTTTGGAGAATCCAATATTTGCATATTTGGGGTCACAAAATATATAGCAAGGTGCAAATTGATTTTAAAAACAGACCAAATTAGAGAGTAATACAGAGTTGTTGCAAATGGGGCAACACCTCAGTATTAGCCATATCTACATAGCCTGTGCCGTTTCCCTTGTTTGGGGGCATGGATGACAGTTTTGTCTGAATGAGTCTGTGCAGCATTTTTGTGGTAAATTATGGTAAACCTCATGCCATGTATTCCTCCACAACTAGACTACAGCATATTATTGTTGTAAAATAAAAAAAAAATAAAAAACAGCCTCCAAAACTGTGTCTCTTGTTTATTTCAAAGGACTTGTAAGATATCAGTTTTTAAACCAGAGCTACATTCCTTTTCGAGTAGGTCTTTCAAGAAACTCCACAGTAGTGTTCACATCTGATTTGATGAACCTGCACAGTAAAAATGTATCACCCAGGGAATTCCATAAAGCCACTTGTTAACTAACCCCCAGAGGTAGGCTAATTTCTCCAACTAAACACTGGGCTAAATTGAAATATACTATGAAAACATAAACTTTAACATTTACCCCGTTTTTTAGATAACATGATAATGTTTATACACTAACCTGTATGTAATGCATTGCCTCAGTCAATCTATACTACTTATGTATGTATACATTTAATTATCTGTCATGGTTTAAGTTACTGTGGCATGTAGACTTCAAGAACAAACAAAGGTCAGCAGTAATCACAACTGACATTGTTTTTAGATCACTGACCCCATCTAGTGCTTTGGAGGTTAAGGTACATTAAAATGATTCTGGAAATTGTGTGAGTACCAATAATAGCTCCAAAGCTTCAGTAATTTATACAATATTTATTTCCAGCCCTAGAATGAATGTGGCAACAAGATAGGCTACCAAATAAAAAACACTTTATTATGAAAAAAAAAAAAAGTTAAATCAGCACTCCTTTAAAACAAAAAACTGAATATTATAACCTTCATGGAGGGTGGATTGTATTACCCGGTAAAGGGATCAGTTGTGCACGTTCATAGGTGATAGATATTTATTAGTCCTTTCGGGAAATCATAGTGTCTCATACAGCAAACATCAGACCATAGGCGGAGAGGGGGTGGCTAATTGGGCTTAAGCCCCGAATATTTTGTCAAAAGCCCCGGAACTTTTAGGTTTTTTAAGTAAGTTCAATTGTTTCATTGTCCCTCCGTCTTTCTGACTGGAGCGGCAAAACAACGTAGCAACAGCTCTTTTACCGCAGTGGCGGTAATGCATCTCTCAGCCGGTTTGCCCACCGCTAATACACACTAAAGAAGAAGAAACAGAACTCTTCTTCTTTGTCGTCGTGATAAGGGCTGTTGTGCTGTTTCACCAGCGGCCCCTCAGTGAGCGAGCGTGCTAACTAACCATGGACTGTATATAAAAACTAACTAGTAACTAACCAGCTGATGTTATGGACAAAGTTTTTTACGCGGAGAGGTAAACCTCACCGGCCGTTCACAGAGAGAAGCAGCGTCAGACAGAGCTGCGGACTCAAACCTGAAACACTTGTCGGCGGTTCACTAACACTTCAGTAAAGTGACTGTATTGCTGGCTAGTTTATTGTTATTAGGTGATATTATCTCGCTATTAGAGATTTTCTGCTTATTCGCATAGTTTCAATACATTGTGTCGGAGCTTGTATCAAATGATCATCTCAGGGCTTTTTACAGCTGATCTCAGCACATTAGATAAGAAGAAAGAATAATTGAAATATAGTGATAAAGATTAGAAAGAGATGAGTGAATGAGAAAAAGTAAGAAGACATTTCCTCTTGATGACAAATATACCAAGTAGCCTATAGGTGCATCTACTGGAAAATTATTTAAAATCGTGGAAAAACATTTTCTTCCAATATTTAATTAAAAAATATAATCTTATAAATATTTCAAGCCTTTTTTCATTTTAATCTTGATGATTGATGGTTAGGGCTTACAGCTCATAGAATCAAAATTCTAGTATCCCAAAATTTATTAGAATTTCAGAATAAATTATTTATTATACAGAAATGTCGACCTGAGAAGAGCTCTTATCAGCTAATTAACTGAAAACACCTGCAAAAGTTTCTTTAATCTCTCAGTCTGGTTCTGGTGCTCACAATTAACTTGTCCACTATATTAAATATTTTTTTAGATTTGAGATGCTCCTGTACTAATGTAACAAAAGTAATAATAGGCTAATTTAATGAATATCACTGTCCAATCACATCATCATGTCTGGATCTTATAAATATCAACTGTCAGGTTAGGGTTAATCCTCTTTGACTTTTATTGCACATGAGACTAAAATTATAAGTATCAGTGAGTTATGATGGCGTTTTGGCTGCGGTATAAAGGTGCTGCTCTAGCCCTGGGGGTATTTTGTAGAGCACATTGAGCTGGACTTCTGTGAGAAATTTCAAGTCAATCAGATTTATGGTGTGAAGCAGGTGGCCTTTCAAAGCCTGTAATTTTTACAACGCCACCGTGAGGCCGATTGGTGTAATATTTCTGTGACAGTGCAAGCACATCTGTTAGAGTTACTGTGCCAAGTTTCATGTTTCTAGCTCATTCCAGCTCACGGCAAATGGAGAAAAGCAGATTGCCAACACAAAAACAATCGCTAATATAGCCGCAAGCGGCAATTCGCAGGTTCATCCCTTTTTTGCGCAATATCGCCATCAAAAAAATTTTCACACACACACACATGGTTCAACATTGTTACGAAACACATTCTGCAAGTTTTATAACGATTGGACAAGCATTTTCTGAGCTATAGCTGGATTTGTTTCATTCCACATCCAATTATTATGCACTTATAGCGCCTCCTATGATCAATTTGAATGAGACTTTCAGGATATGTGTGAGGTGCTGATGTAGACATATCCTTGAAGTTTTGTGTTGATTGGACAAAAAATATGCATTTTGTAGCCTGTTTTGCGTTTTATCTCCTGCAGTTTGTTTGCATTTATAGCGCCCCCGGGTGTTCAATTTCAATGAAACCTTCAGGGCATATGTTTCAGTTACTTATGAGGACATATCCTGAGAGACTTGTGATGATTGGAGAATGAATAAGGGATTTATAGTGTAATTTCTGTAATGCCAAGCTCCTGTCTTGCGCTTGTAGCGCCCCCTATTGACGTATGTACATCAAACTGTCCAGGTATATCCGGGGCACCTATCTGAACATATCCTGTGAGTTTTGTGATGATTACGGTTGCTGATTTGTGGTCATTCATGTCCAGCGCTATGCCCCTTTCAAAGTTCATTGGTCCATATCTTGAAAAGTAATTGAGATATTGACATGCTGTATACAACTTTTAATAGGCTTGATCTAATGATGATTCACTGAAAATTTGGTGGCAATCGGAGCTACGGTCTAGGAGGAGATGTCAAAAATGTGATTTTCTACCACTACGCGGTATGAACAATAATTAAACCTTCATTAATTAGTTAACCAGGGCAGAAATTTTACAGAAGGAACCAACTGTGACTTCCAGGATCCGAGATGGGGGGTTGATTGTTGACAAGCATTACCGAATTAGAAACAAAAAATAAAATAAATCATCCATAACCATAGTCAGCTACATGTTTAAGTAGGCTATCAACATAAATATTGCCCATCGACATCTTGTAAACAACTCTGTGATAAACGGCGGCTTGGTTGTGAAGGGAACAAGGAAAATACGGACATGGTCTTGGTTAGTGTGGTCACAAGTTGATCTGTGTCTCCCGTTTTTAAAGAGTGATGGCTGGCTATGCTCCAGAAGTTGTTTTACGCCACGCCGACAGCGGCGTGCGAGGTGATGACAGGCTAGTGGAATATCGATCCCAATTTGATTAAATTTCCCACATTGATCTGAGTTAGATTCCCGTGACAAAAATTACTTTTATTTTATTCGTTTTAAAAGGCTGATCGTTTTTCTACATGACATGTGTTTACTGACACAGACACAGACTCCAAGGACAAATATGTGTATTTAGAATAATTATTAGAGATAATGTTTGACATTCACAGGAAGAGCAACTTGCCCTCTTCCTGTTTTCAACATTTTCCGTAACAACAAACAGCGTTCAAAGCGTGACAAAGTGGTACGTGACAGGTTTACACACACACGCGCGACTCCAAAGACAAATTAGAAAATGTATGTTTTGACTTTTTAAATGAACAACTACAAAGGGGACATTCGCGGGGACAGCTACGTATTCGCTTCCTGTTTTCAACAGCTGTCCTATGACAACCACAGACGCATTCGGCAAACGGTCACCAGTTAACAAGGCCACCGGTTAAACCGAAACACCGTGCCGTTGAAGTCGTTGCCAGTTATGGCAGGCAATGCTGGTTTCCAAACCAACTTTTGTCAAGAAAATGCAGGTGAAATGAAGGAATGAGCGAACCTGCACAGAAACAGCTGTTTGTTATTATAAAGAATGGGTGATTGTCTGAGCTACACAGAGAGCTGCAGGGGAGTTAAAAGGTGCAGCTTTCCGACACCTAGTTAACTCTTGACTGTGATGTTACAACTCACGCCCAAAAAAAAAGAGAACAAACAAACGCACGTGGCACATTAAAGATGAGGACTGCGGATTACTTTGGCTGGCCTTCAACTCAACAATCA